GGCGGTAAAGCTGGAGGGATGCCACCATAGCGCCACCCAGCCAGAGAGAGTGAGAACCCCAAGAAGAAAACGCCTTTTAAAAAAGTGCTGCCAGTCTACGGCCACGCCACCCTGAACACACCCGATCTCATCTGCTTTCAGAAGCTAAGCGGGGTCGGGCCTGGTTAGTACTTGGATGGGAGACCACCTAGGGAGACCAGGTGCTGTAGCTGTAAAAATAAATAAAAAATAAATAAAAATTAAAAAGTGCCACCAAATTCTGTCAGTGGAGGAGGCCAGCCCTGGGGAGCTCTGGCCCCTGGGAGCCAGTGTGGGAACCGTGGGGACCTGTCCTTGAGGAAGGCGGTGAGGGGGCCCCCCTGGAAGGTGCCCCTCATCTTTGGGCAGCGATGTCCCCAAGAAACCAGGCCCCGAGAGAACACGTCCTCCCCCCGGCCCGCCGGCCCAAAGTCCAGGCAGAGGGCCGGTTCCCTGGGCTCCAGGTAGGAAGTGGGGAGGGCCCTGGATAGAGAATAAATAGCCGGATGGAGGGCGTGTTAGCACTGGCTTCAGACGCAACGGCAGTGTACTTCCAACCCCGGGAAACTACGGGGGAAGGATGAGTGGCTGGAGCTTTCTCCAGGGCCCGGTGTTTTGCTGGATTAATGTAAACTGCTTTGTTTGCAGGGTTTATTGTCATCCCCAAACCAGGCCAGTTCTCCAGGTGGAACTGGAGTGTAGCAACCCCACTACTGCTCGAAAACTCTCACCCTGGACATGGTCTTGAGGGAGTGACGACAACGGAGCCATGAGCAGACACTCACCAGAGGCAGATGTCACAGGAGTCCTGAGCCCAAGAGTCGCCGGGCAGGGCTGTCTGCACGGCTTTCGCCGATCACCCAAAGAAGCTGTTTCCGTTTTAAATGGTTCTTTTGGGCCGCAGTAAAAAATAAATGAGATTTTCCTGCTTTTTCCTCTAAAATTCAATGTAATTAAAATCTCACACATATAAAAAATATATACATATCTACATAGTGTAAAATAAAATGTTTCTTGGACAAGAAATCCCCTTAAATTCCACTGTTACGAATAGCCCTTCTGTCTGTTTTTGCACTGATTTCTTTATACCTCAAGTGGTCACAGGCGCCCTGGAATGTGCTCCTAAGGAAAGTCCTTACTTTCTGACTTAAATAATTCAGGAAGACAGATGCTGCAATCATAGATCTTTAAAATTTGTTTGCACTTAAAATAGTTTAATGCTGTTAAAAAAATTACTTGGAATATGGGTGTAAAGAACCCCCAAGCTGTGGGGTCGAACATGCCCATTTTTATCTGTTAACGTTTATTTTAATACTGTTGTTTCCAATGCAATCCACCGTATTATATGTGTAAAAAATGTAATTCTGCTACCGGGGGAAATGTTACTTCACTAGTAATTTTTGTCATTTAAGAGTGATATTTCTAATTCACGAGAAAATATTAATATTAAAACTATCTTGAATATGCCGTTCGTGTATCTTCCGTAAAACTGGCTCAGTTTTCAGCGTCATTTTTCGTTGACGGAAACGTTTGCAGGGAAGCGCTGTGCCCGACG